TAATATTTTATAAATTTAAATAATATCGTATTTTTTTGATATTTTCTGTAGATATCTATAATTACTATAGTACTATAATCTAGATTAAAATAATAACTAAAAGTAGAAATTAATATTTTAGTTTTAATATTAAATTTAACTCTATTGAAATAAATAAATATTTAATTCTATGAACGATATTTCAATTTATTCGTATATTATGACCTAATTAAATAAATTTGCCAACAATAGAAACCATAAAATTAACGAATACAAACAGTTGATAAAAATATATTGATCAATTATTATAAAAATTAAATAAATATATAAATATTTATTCAAAAAACAGCTTTTCAATGTTCCCGGAATTATATGTACATTTTATGTTAACTTTTAAATTAAAATTCTATAAACAATTTAAAAAATTAAATAATTTGTTTTTAAGCATATATTATGTGTTTTCTCTCTCTTTATCTATGTGTCGATTTTCAACCAATATTTCCAGATGCATAATTTAGGATTGATATAAGCCATCCTTAAATTATTTTGTATTTGTTGATCCCTAATTTGAGCAACAATGGTATATATTTACTACTTCATTATTTTAGACTTGTTAATTAATTTAAACAATTCTAATTTCAACTAACAATATTAATTATAAGAATTTCCTWAACATTCTTCTCAACGTTATTTCACTCTGAGTATTTTACTATGAAATCAAATTTATCAAACAATGGGTATTAGGGTATTAGATATCATGTTTAATTAGACTGAGATATCCAAGACTAGATGAATTCAYCTAGATATTTAAGGCCTGTAATGAAAGAAATATGTTAAATTAATTTTAAGGTTTGATGTGAATTAAAAGAACCAACATTTTAAGTGTAACTCAAATTTAAAGTTATCCAATTATTTCATTTTAAATAATAAAATTAGTGATCAGTGATATCTCTAATATAATATACATAATTATTTATGACATAATTAATTCACATTTCTAAGTCTAACAAGTAACAAATAACATTAATTGCYCTTTGTATTGTAATTTGGTAAGTCAATTCGTGAATCAAAAGACTATTYATATACCTAAAAGGCATTTATCTTTATGTTCAATGGTCGGACGGAAAACGGTCCTGAGCATATTTTATCAAAAATGGATAAATCACTATCTCTGTATAGAAATCTGTAGACTTGGATTTTCATTTGGAGCTTAATGAAAACGAATTTGACAAGAACGTATTAGAAAAAAGTGTTAATGGTTACCGGCGAAAAAGTATACTATATTCAGTATATTCGGCATTTCTGTTGTTAAAACGAAAATATCTT